CAGTTAAAGAAAGCACAGCACGAACATTAGTGTGTAGCCTTGTGTAACTGTGTACCTCAGTATCTGCGGTGTGTGCTTTAGCTACAGCTTCAACAACGTTTGTACACCCAGTTATAAACCTCTACACTGACAACATGAAGACGAGATCTGCTGCAGTTCTTCAGCACACTCTTTAATCATTTCGAGTTATTATGCATCAGTCTACATGATTCTGTCAACCTGTAAAACTATCCCCACTGTCAGAGAGGCTATTTTCAGTAGTTAATATAACTTATCATAATTTTACTTCATTTCGTTTCAGTTCAATAAAAGCGGCTGTGTTTTCACCTTCCATTTTAACTTGTGCTACACAATGTACTTGCTCAAGGGCAGGTTATTTTCTACACAAATAAACACAGCACCTTCTGACCAGTCAATTCTCTTAAAAATATATATATATACACTTTATCATGCTGAAAGATCATTGATGCACAGGTAACAAGAGTGTCTACAGTTTTTAAACAATCACCTACAACCTTTGGCTTTTCCTTCCAATCAGGAGAAGCCAAAGGTTTTGCTCTCAGATAGCTATAGAGATTTGCAAATAATTTACTTTAAATTCTGTTGGGGTTTTTTTTTTGCTGTAACAAAGCAAAAATACACTTACACACCATGTAAGCAACACTGTCACTGTGATCAAATTTACTTTCATGATGGGCCAGTAAATAACAAGCCTTATTAACAGGCTTATTACTTAAGATTACCTTCCTGGCCTTGGCTGCTGTATTTAGCCTGTGTTAACATATCTTATCCATTTGTTTACAGTTATAGTTTGTTCCTTTGGTCAGAAATGTGCCGGATCAGACCTGTCCGTGTCTGGATATCTGGTATCATTAACATGCTCATAGCTCTCATTGGAAAAAACCGAGGCTGGCTCACAGAGTTAATAACCACTGTTGTTTTTTAGGTTTAGTGAAGCCCAAAAAGAAAAAGAAAAAAAAATGTAATTTGACTGAGATCTAGTTTAAAAACATATCATATTATTAATACAAATATATACATTCTTTAAGTAGGGAAGAAATAAAAAATACAATAAAATTAATCTATAAAACAACCCCAAGTTCTATAAAAATATTTTCAGAGCAGCTGTAACTTCCCCTGAAGAACAGCACAGGCTTTACAAAAGCAATAACAGGGTACAGTCAGGGATTTCTTTTACTTGGCCCTGCACATGAAATGTGGAGTGCATAGCCTTGTGAAAGCTATTTGGCATTGGGGGGTAGGTAGTAAGGGTGAAACAGTCTTTCATGGGCACAGATTTGCAGCGCAGCGTGTGTGTGCATCAGTAACCGTGGAAACCGTGATGTGAAGTACCCGACGAAGCCTTCGGGCAGCTCACCAAGAGTCTCCTGCACCTCTGGTGGGAGCTCGTGGTAGTGATGCTTCTGTAACGTAAATGCAAAAAACAAAACAAAAAAAGTCAAAAACATAAAAAGTGGGTTGAAGATAATTCTGCATGAATCTAATGATTGTAATGCTGGCTGACCTTATTCCTCATGGCTCTCAGCAGGTCTCTCACTGAGTTTCCTTTATAGGTCCTGAACCGCCTCAAGTCTGGGGCGCCCATGGAGGAGGAGGGGGTGGGGG